CACCTGCCCGTTTTCTAACATAAATCTTGCCACATGGCAACGGGATCAAGTAAATGGCAGCAATCACACACGCTACAAATGGCCTTCTAAGTTTTATTGTGCAGCTGCTTCTTCGTGCGAGCTTCGCATTCAAACACTTACAGAGTACTGAAAGCTTTTCTGGCGAGAAGAAACAACCTTCACACCCACCTTATCACCTATCTTTTTCAAATTGTGAGAAATCTTACGTAGACAGGTAATCACAGCCACGCACTTTGAGGCACTAGCCACGCAGTTCACAGGTGATTCACGTTCCTCTTTAATGGTCCTAAGTAGCTTTTCCGCCACCGAAACCAGCACATGATCGTGGGAACCAGTGCTTGTAAGACGGGATGCCTGTTCAACGAATCTTCTCATTAACAAGTGGCCGCAAGACTTGCAGAGAGCGTTTCTGAAACAATCATTAGCGATTCTTCTCTTTAAGTTTCAAGTGACATTTCTCTCACTTACCATGACCGGCTCATGGCCAGCCGCCTGGACAAAACAGCTGTCATAAAGGTTTTTAGTTTTGTCGACAATTTTCTTCTATTTTGGTTGCAATGGTAATGGCTTCGAAGCTGCCATTTAAAACAAATTATGTCTTTTTGATGAGTGTATGGTTCCTCTAATACTGACGCATGAGCTGCCACAGGATGCTTTTCTAAGGTTTTTAGAATAGAGACATGAGATGTCAAGTGAACACATTTGCCGGAAACATGATCCTATAGTAAGCAAACCACTTTTATCATACTTGTCAAATCATTCGAAGCGCGTAAAGAGAGGAATCGCTAATCATGGTTTCAGAACCACTCTCTGCAGGTCTTGCGGCTGTTGAGTTTGGCGGACCACCCTTTTACCACGGCCGCCAGTACAGAAGAAAGGCAGCCGCCTCATTTTGTTGAGATAAGGAGCAGCGCCAAGACGTTCTGCTGTTTCCATATACTGGGCGCTGCGTGGCTGAAATTACTCTATGGAGCAGCGCTGTCTATCGGATCTGCGCAGAGATGGGAAACGTGGCGTCTTCGTGCCCTGGTAAAAGCCACAATGCCGAGCTTCCGCCGATTAGAGACTTCAAACCATCACGCTGTGCGTCTCTGACTGATGAGCCGCCGATGCTCAAATCAGTATCAGATTTCCAAGTTGGCCCCCCGAAGGCGCTTAGACCGCGATCGCCGTTCGAGAAAGCTTGGGTGGTCGGCGGGAGCGGCAAGATGACAAACACGTTTCACCGGGCTCGCTGGGAGCAAGATTCGCCGAAGGAGGCAGCATCGCCGGGACAAGACACGTGTTTCTTTTGTGTATTTGTGTTTGTTGGGGCGGCTGCTGGCCTAATGACACTCGTGTGTGCTGCGGGACATGTTATTGGACAGTGCCGTATGAACCTATTCTCTGATCTTGGGATCTGGGGAGACGAGACTGTATTTATTCAGCTCTCGCGGGTTGCTCACGGTGGTTCACGAGGCGTGTTCAATAGACAGCCTTTTTCAATGTAGAGCTTTCGATGTAGAGCTTCGTGCCAGAGAGCCCGTGCCATGTAAATATAGAGAATAAACCCTCTCTACGATGTTCACCCTCCTCCTGCCTCGACATCTCGATTTTCTATCTCCGGTGCCACAAACCCCGGTCGCAGCACGGCCACTCGTGAATCAAAAGCTTCCTTGAGCAGGCTTCCCGTGTGATAAGAACTGGCTTCTCCTATAATGTGCTGGTTTTGGTGGCGGAAAAGTTGCTTAGGATCATTAAAAAAGGACGTGAAGCACCAATGAGCTGCATGGCTAGTAGCTCCAAGTGCGTGGCTGTGATTCCCTGCCTACATAAGATTTCTCATAAATTGAAAAATATAGGTGATAAGGTTTGTGTGAAGATTGCTTTCTCTGTGCTAGAAAAGCATTCAGTCCTCTGTAAGCGTGTGCATGCGCAATCCACACGTAGGAGCTGCTGCACAAGCAAACATAGAAAGCTATTCGCAGCATCTGGGACTTCTGTCATTTACTTGCGTTGTCATGCGGCAAATTGTGTATGTTGGACAAACGGGCAGCTGCATGAATGAGCACCATTACCATGTATACTCAGCTACTCAAGGCCATCTGTGTATTCAATGTAGAGATTATGGTCGCAGACCCAGAATTTGAAAAGTGCACCGTTGTCGTAAAACACCGGCAGCAGCTATCCCGACAGATCATTTGGCGAAAGAAATGCAAATGTTGGGTGATCTATGTATCAGCCCGCCTTCGGTTGCACTCAAAAAGAAATCGAGTATCTGGCTTTGACGTATTATATTGTGAGGTTGCGCTATTGCGTGGTGTTGTACCTACTTCATTATATAATGATTGCCTGGCTGCGATGCAATAGGTGGTGCGATTACGCTGGTGGGCGCATTTCTGTCACGAGTATATATTTTCAGTGTTCACGCTAATAGAATTTCAGTTGAAGTCAGCGCTCTTTTCTGTCCGTGCCTCTTCTTCCATAATTACGCCATAACTATACTCGCAGTCTTGCCCTTTGCAAATATGTTGAATGCCAGTTGAGGTGTCCTGGTCACTTGGTGACATAGGGGAAATATTTATAGTAACGTTAGTCTGCCGTGTGCGCGAATACTACCCCGCAGCAGCAGCGAATAAACGCCCATAGTACTGCGAGCGTGCACCACGACCACTCGCACCCGCTACCAAATAAGCCACCATAATGCCCCAACGCAAAGATGATGATAGTTTTAGCGGCACCATTGAATAAGTTCGTTCACAACGCCACCACTACACTTACTTTTGTTGCACTTCCTAAGGTAGTTTTGCTTCTCTAAACGGCAGTATGTAGGTGTTTTGTGCCATCAGCAAGCTGCTTTGAACGAGTAGAACTGGTACCAGTGGAATGGGCACTCTTCTCTAGTATTCAGGTGAACAAGCGTCATTTACGGCTTACATTGCATGTCATCCACCAAAAGGCAGCATTTCCTTGAGACTTTATATTTTTCCTGCAGCAGGAGCGCGGCGTTTGTAGGAAAACACGGCGTGCCGCGGTGGCGGTGACGCATGCACAGCTGAGCTGTTAACACAAAAAAAGTTATTTGTTTTCGCAATATTCTCGTAGTGATGATGATACAAAAAACATATATATCATGTGCCGAGAAGTGGAGACAGTGATGACGGTGAATTCAGTAGCTGCTTCGATGTTGATGAAGACAGCTCGGACGCGAACATCGCGAGTGCCTGCCAGCGAAGCCACCTTGGATTATTTTGTGTTTTGAAATTTTCCACGCAGCTCCGAAGCTTCCCGAGCAAAATACCCCAAGGATGCTTAGCACACAAAGAAAAATGTGGCATTCGTTACTGCTTTATTTATAGGGTTCTAAAATTTCATTAAGAGCAGGTAGCTGTTTTTCTATGTATTCTTCAAAAAATGAAGTTTATTCCGTTCACATTTGACTAAGTATGTGGGGAAAATAATTTTTCAACTTTGACTAGCCACTTTTTAGTACAATCCGATTCGAAATCAGCAATAAAAAGGGGCACTTTTCGACTCAAAGTTCCTAAGAAAATGAGCAGTTAAGGGGTTACACCTTAAGGAGCACTGGTAATAAAAGAAGCAAGGCAAGGGCCGTGGCATGCCAAAATATCGTCTTATACATGAACGCTTGTTCTCTGCGATAAAAAGTGGCATCGTAATTTCTGCCGTCGTCACCACAAACACAGTGGTGTGCGGCGCTTGCAAGTAACAAAGGGTAATTGTATTGGCTCTGACACAACTATAAAAGGAAACACTCTAGAAAAAAAATGGGACGTGGGTACTACTACTAAGTGGTTCTTAAGAGAGAAAGGAAGAGAAAAGTCAGCCCCGTAACTGTCTGCTTCAGCGAGCGACACTTCAACAGTAGCTCACATGAAATGGGGGTGAGGAGAGATTAAAAGGTTAGGAGTAAAGGTATAGAAAAGAGAAAGAGGCGTGAGGTGGTAAGCCAAAGAGAGCGACAACGATTCGAGGGGATAGGAGAGATAGGAAAGATGGAAACACGGCCACAGGAGTACGAGGATTGGGCACCATTTGCGAGAGCTCTTGTCGGCGTCAGTAGATGGCGTTGAGCAAGTCCAGTCGGTCAGAGCTACACTGTCGTCGAAGGTCGTCGGCGTCAGGAGATGACTTAGGGCGAGCCCAGTCGGCCAGAGCTACGCTGACACCGGAGATCACGAGGGCGCAACCGGTCGGCACGGAATCCAGCAAGCGAGGTAAGCATGCGATTGTATACTTTGTTTCAGAGGTTCCATTCAGCACTCTGGAGGCTAAATTAAGGGCCCCTCAGCTAATAGGAAGGACGATTAGCCTCTCCGCATGTAATCATTCGCACCGTGCCGCCTGCTGACCGTCTTCATGGCGTCTGCTCACTGAATTGTGTATAGGCGCTTGTAGCAGTTGACATGGCTGGTTCATTAACATTAAAATACACTAAAATTGAAACAAGCTCCTACACCGGGCCACCATTTATGTCTACTTCAAGAAAATGTCGTAACTTGTAGATATAACTTTGTGGAGACTCACTCGGTGCCGTTTATCCATGTGTAAGATTGGTGACTGAATCGCGCACTTGGCGCACTTGTTCTGAGGGTGAAGTAGAAGAGGGCAGATAATATTCATGACTAACGCGTATGCGCGCTATTGAAGATGATGATTTTCTATTCGAGTCACACGGTCCAGTAGCGGTCTGAAACAGCTCCAGTTTTATAACGATTCTCTCAGTTGTTTCGAGAAAAACACACAGGTTGGTCATTGTTCTCTTTTTTCTAGTCAAGCGTCCTCCAAGTTCTTTCTTACTCGCCCAGTGGATTTCAGCGCCGCAGAAGTAATCACTTCTACAGTACCTGAACTATTCATTCACGTGTGATAAGAAGCTCGTTCAGCTGCGTACTGGGTGATCAGAACTCCAGTTTTACAACAATGGAACAGTACAAAATGTATTCGAGAAGTGTCGCTGGCAAAGTTGTAGTACTTACCGCGAGGACACCTCGCCTTGCTGTTTGACAGATGCGTCGAAATGCATGTACGTGTCGGACTCGTATGAGTCTGCATGGAACACAATCTTCACGTGTGGCGTCTCTGAGATGAACGTCTTGGGCGAGTCAATCTCACCGCAGTGAAAACCAGGCGCGTCGCGGTTTGACTGGTTAGAATCTCTGTAGCCGTCCACGATCTGCACGTAGCCGCCATCGCATCTGCAGTTGAGAAATGCCAAATGTGATTAGTCTGACGTAAAACGATTTTTTGGTTATGTTGTTACTATGACCTGATTCTTACTTGTGTACATTACTCAATTTATTTACTTATATATTCTTACGCGGGACCATCAGTGTGAATTGTTTTTTACAATGTGAAGAGAGGGGTCAGAATTACAATATGAAAACAAACCAAACAGAGCGTATTGTAACAAACTCGCAAGTGTATTCAACGTTTTAACATAGACAAAAACTTCCAAAGTAGCTGGAAAGAGTGCTCTTTCCTTTTTTTTCTATGTTTTCTGGCTGAGAAAAACTTGCCAGTATGACTACGCACCAACTAGCTCAAGCTTCCACTTTTGTAAAATATCGTAGCAAACTATAGAGGAGAAGACATTACTACATACGAGCAATGCACATGTGGACGTTGTTAAGTGGACAATCAAATTATATCACATGAACAGTACCAAAAAATGCGCGTAGGCATGCAATAATACCAACTTCTACGATTCATAATATGCTGTTCCTTCGTGCCTTTTCCCGAAAGCCCCGGGACCGAATCATGGTCGCTGCGACTGTGTTTAGATGAAGGCGAAATGATGAGGGTCCATGCGCACGTATTAGCGCACGTTAAAGAACATCAGGGCCGTATTCGCTAAAATCACGAGGAATTTTTTTGTGAGAGAAGTTTTGTCACGCCAGTCAATTCACGAAGCGAAAGAAAAAAGCAAAAACAAAACGTCGTAAGAGGTTATGGTTGTCACATCGGCTACTACAATATAGCACGCAGCAACTGCCCAGGAACATGCCAGTGATCATGATGCAGTTGCTAAATATTCTTACGTCACCGAAAATGCTAACTACTGGATTGAGTAAGCAAAATTTGCGTAAAAACAGCGTGACTACGAAAAACCTTTAGATGGGGCATGCAGGCATGCAGGCTGCTAAAGAACTGTATTGGATGCGAAGACGACGCTCACTCCCTCTTCTGGGACAAAATTGACATAAAAGTCGTCCGACCACTGTTAAGGACATTATGTCTGCTTAGAACCTGCGGCCGCGCCGGAATACCAGGGTTCTGTGGCTTATTTAAAGTTATTTTGCGGCTGTGTAGGGCTGCCTGATAACTGCTGGTGTCTTTTTATTAATTTGGGCGTTTTGAGTTTCGTATGCTGTTTCCCTTGTACGCAATGGGCAGTATTGACAACCACCGTCGTCCAATAAGCTTGGAGTCTCAGTAATGAAGGAATCCCGTTGGGTTTCGTTAGCGTACAATTATGCATGCAAGCACTTGTGGTTGGAAGAAAATCAATGTGCTAGGTGAATGGCCGGTGAATTCGAGCACGGCATGGTATATGTTCAACCTTATTTGTTATAGTATTGCGTTGCGTCTCACATAATCATACAATTAAAAGTATAACTCGTGATGCTTGCCAAGTTGGCGGAATTGACCCCCAAAGATGTTAATAAGAACAAATTACCGGCACGCTATCAGAAATAAAAGTGAATACAACTTTTCAGTTAGCGGTTCATAAAGCCTATTCTGTGGTCGAGCCCTAGTATACTTCGGTTGGCTCTAACTGTCCAATGGGCACGATCTCTGAAATACATCTCTCGTCGATACACTTTGGGACAATCTGGAATGGGGGCGTGCTTTGCAAACCGAAGCGTATAATGGTTGTGCGTGATTACGCGTGAAACTAGAAACAAATCAAGCTTTTACACCTGCACTGTTCTGAAACCGATATGGACTGTGATGATACGGCAAGCAGTCGGGATAAAATGGCCCTAGTAATTTAGAGTTACACTGATATTGTGCAAATCGTCCTCACTCTCGAGCAAACCTTGGCTGAATTCATCCCTGCGACGATTAGCAGCCATTTATCTTTGCGCACGAATGTCATTCAAAGGTAGAGTTAGCCACTGATATGTATTTTGTGTGACGCAGCGACCACTTGACCTAGAAATAAGGGCGTCGCGATGGCGGAACCCCCACCGCATGCTCTGATCTAATAAGACGAGAAATGTGAGCACACGAAGGCTTGGCCGACTGGCGCAGCTCGAGATTGGTTGTGTAGCAATACTCTCGACATCAGCTCACTACCTGACGTTGCCAAAACCTCTGCGACAATTAACAGCCATTCAACTTGGTGCACGAATATTATTCAAAGGAAGAGCCAGCCACTGATATGTATTTTGTGAGACGCAGCGACCACTGGACTTAGAAATGATGGCGTCACGAAGGCGAAACCCCCCATTGCATGCTGTCATTGAAGCAGACGACAAACGTGAGCAAACGTGTGGCTTGGCCGACAGGGGCAGCTTGAGATTGGTTGTGACTTACTTATTGATCAGGCACTACCAGCATTAACGTACGCAGATGATATAGTGCTAATGGCCAACAACAGGGAAGGTATGCAGAGATTGATGGACATCTGCGGTAATGAGAGAGATAGGTTAGATTTTAGATTCAGTAAGTAAAAATCAGCAGTCATGACTTTCACTGACAATGAAGGTAGTGAGCTTAGGATACAGGAGGTCACGCTAGAGATAACAGATAAATACAAATATCTGGGCGTATGGATAAGCAATGGGACCGAGTACCTGAGGGAACACGAAATATACGTGACGACTAAAGGTAACAGGAATGCAGCAGTGATGAAAAATAGGGCACTGTGGAATTACAATAGGTATGATGTTGTGAGAGAAATATGGAAAGGGGTCATGGTTCCTGGGCTGACGTTCGGCAATGCGGTCTTGTGCATGAGATCAGAAGTTCAAGCAAGATTAGAAATTAAGCAACGTGGAATAGGTAGGCTTGCTTTAGGAGCTCACGGGAATACACCAAATCAGGGAGTACAAGGTGATATGGGATGGACATCATTTGAGGGCAGGAAAGCTAGCAGCAAGATAAAATTTGAGAAGCGATTGAGAGAAATGAAGGAGGAGCGTTAGGCTAGGAAGGTTTTGAGCTACTTGTACATGAAGAATGTCGATACAAAATGGAGGAAGCGAAGCAGGAAGTTGACTGGTAAATACTTCGAAAACAGCAGGTGGCCAAACCAAAAAGAACTATCGGTTAAGAAGAAGGTGAAGGAAACGGAGACTGACATGTGGAAAATGGGAATGATTAAGAAGTCCGCACTAGAGATCTATCGAACTTTTAAACAGGAAATTTCCAAGGAAAGGATCTATGATAATACTCGGGGTAGTTATCTACTGTTTGAGGCAAGGACGGGAGTAGTGCGAACAAAGACATATCGGGCCAAATACGAAGGGGTAGACACAGTATACAATGCGTGTGGAGAGGAAGAAGAAACTGCCGAACACTTGATAATGTTTTGTAAAGGGCTTCACCCTATAGTTCAGGATGATGGCGCAGAGTTTTTCAAAGCACTGGGGTTTAGGGACCGGGAGGGCGAAATAGACTTTAAGCAAGTATACTTAACTAGAACAAGGTTATCTGATTGGTGGCCTAAATCAAGGCACGAGTGAAAATTAAACTCTTTACTGCAAAGTACGAATCCTCAAACTCACTTTTTAAGGAAAAAAATTAATATAGTTTTGGGTTCATTAAGTATTGCGGCTTGGTGGCGCTAGCCATCGCCCGATCTAAAGGGTACAGCCATATTTATCCATCCATCCATGAAGCAATACTCTCAACATCAGCTCACTCCGTGGCGTTGCCAAAACACTTCTTTCATCTGGCACGTCTGTCGTGTTCGTCATATCTTCATCTTCGCACAAAAGAGCAAATTTTGTCGCGCGGTCAGAAATGCGCAAGTACTTTCTAAGAGCTCTCTTAAGAGCTGTGCAGTGGGCGAAAACAACAAGGCGCCGTAAAGAGCGTATCGGTCAGTGCGAATTTCAACAAACGCTTTTCACTTTACTTCCTTCAGCGTACGACTGGATGTGTTGTAATTGCGGTTGCTTTTCGGTGCGTGTAAGCGGTGTGAAAACCAGCGAAAGTGTCCTGTTGTACTACGAAGCGTAACAAAGCCTGTGCCTCTGTGTGTTTATAGGCGCCTGTGTATCAAAGGCAACTATATAGCACTCGAGAAGCCTACGATGTGTGCTTGTGTGCCAGTAACAGTTCGTTGGCTTCACTTGCCGCTCTCAGTTGGGTGCTATGCGACATTTTTAATTGACAGCGCTTCAGCACGTTAGTTGAGTGACCCGAACTACGTAGGGGAGCGTAGGAACTGCACGCTGTGTTGTGTTCTTGCTTCGCTACTGGTTAGCCAGTGCACTTCAATTTTTTTAAGCAGTCTAGTGTTCGGGACAGCTCTCCTTTGTGACGTGATTCTCGGTAGTCGTTTGAGTAGATTGTGTACACGTATATCAAAGTCATCAAACTACATTTCCCCTCCCAATAAAGTTGTGTTCTCTCTCTACATTTCCCCTCTCTTTACGTATATGCTAGTGAAGAGAGTAAGCAAAGGTAAAGTAATAGCAGTAAATAATACAGTAAACGACCAGTACAATGTTTGTTTGCAACGACGGCTTCTCGTTGCACCAGTGAATGGACTAGTCTTCGAAAACGCATCATTGCAATGACCAGCCCGATCGAAGGAGGCATCGTTAGTCATTCATCTCTGGTAAGTGTTCATGGCGTTGTCTTCGTTGGGGCGAAGTGTGTTTGACAAGTCAAGGATGGTTCCGCTTCCAACGTGGAATGAGAATGGCTGCATGCCTATGGGAATGTTTATGTTCAGTTTCATATGTCAAGCAACCCTGACGCAGTGATAGCTCTTCGTCAACATTTTTCTTAGTTTACTGCGCGTATCCACGCATTCTTGCGACTTGCAATAATAACTTTTTGGTAAATAGTGCTGCAAATCGGCAACACGATTTCGCATGCATTATTTTTCAAACAGAATTTTTAAGTACTTTCTAAGAGCTTTCTTAAGGGCTGTGCACTCATGGTTGACATAACAGTTGCACTGTGACTTTTGATATCAATGAAGTATTCCAACCGCAGAGTTTTTCTCATGCAATCT